TATGTAGAGCTACATATATACACATGTGTGTATATATAGACACATATACACATATATATCTGTGTGATTACATAAGTAAATAGATGTATACATATAAATAGCACATACCTACAGATATATACACACCCATATGTATGTGCCTACATACATATATACATACATATAGATAGCACATACCTACAGATATATATGCACACACACGTATATGCATGTATATACATACATGCATACACATGTATATGTATATATACATACATACAATAGATAGCATATACCTACACATCTATACATATATACACATACATATAAAGGTATGTGTATACATATATACATTTACAGGTATACACATATACATACCTATATGTGTGTGTGCATATATATATATCTGTAGGTATTTGCGCTATCTATATGTATGTACATATATATGTATGCATCTATCTAATTCTTGGATACATGGCTGAGATGGTGCTTTTGTAAGGGAAATTCTTAGAAACAGAAATGATAAAAGTGTCAGGATCAAGAGTTCTAAGCAGGCACTGAAATCAATATTTGCTTTGAGGCATGTGCCAACCCCAGGTAACCTAGACTCAAGAACAACAGTTCTCAAGTTTGAGCGTGCATCTTCAGATGAAGCGCTTTTGAGAACACAGATTACTGCACCCCACTTCAGGTTTCTGATTCAGTAGGTCTGGGATGTGAACCTAGAATTTTGTTTTTTTTTTAGACTGAGTCTTGCTCTGTTGCCCAGGCTGGGAGTGCAGTGGCTCAATCTCAGCTCACTGCAACCTCTGCCTCCTGGGTTCAAGCAATTCTTGTGCCTCAGCCTCCTGAATAACTGGGATTACAGGCATGTGCCACCATGCCCAACTAATTTTTGTATTTTTAGTAGAGACAGGGTTTCACCATGTTGGCCAGGATGGTCTTGAACTGCTGACCTCAAGTGATCTACCCGCCTTGGGCTCCCAAAGTGCTGGGATTATAGGCGTGAGTTTCCAGGTGAGGCTGATGGATGCAGATTCAAGAACACTCTTTGAGAACCAATAGCTAGAGCTTGGATTTGAATGAGCCACACGTGTGAGGCATGGAGGGGCCTGTGCTAGGGTCGTAAATACAGTGGGAGATTTGCCTATGTCAGTTTTAGCATTTGTCGCAGAGGAAAAAAAGGGAAGAAAAAGGTCTCTGTTGAGATTTCCTCATCCTATACATGGACTAACATGGGTTTAAGGACCATTAGCCAACAAAATAAAAACAAAACTCTAAGCCTAATATGTACTTTAAGGTACTGCTAAGGTGGTATCTTCAGGTATCTTAGAAAACCAAGTGTAAATAAATGAGCTCTTAAAGCAACATCAAAAAATCTTCCATAAGTAAAAATCCAAGGAACATGATCATCAAAAAGGCAAAATACACAAGGAAATAACCAAGTGCATAAGTTTGCAGAGTCAATAAACTGCAGAATCAGACTTGTACACACTAGCGATATTAAAATTTATGATGCAGATTATTAAAGGTATTTTATGTGTTAATTAAATAAAAAATGTACATGTATATTTGAAAAGGAACCAAATAAAATGTATCAAAAAAGAAAACTATAATTAAAAATTCAGTGAAGAGTTAAACATCAGATTAAATACAGTTGGATAGAAAATTAGCAAGTTAAATGACAGACTTGAAAAAAATTAACTGGAAGGCATCATAGAGAGAAGAGACACAGAGGATGAAAATGTGATATGGGTTAAAAGTCATGAAGAACAGAGAAAGAAAGAATAGAAAGTAACAGATTGAAGTGATATTTGGTGAAGTGGTATGTGAGAGTTTTTCAGAACTAATGAAAGATGCCCATTCCCAGATCTAAGAAGTACAGCAAATTCTAAGAGAGGATACATAAAAATGAATCTATACCTAGGCACATCATAGTGATACTATGGAACACAAAAGATAATGAGTAGATTGTCAAAGCAGACAGAAAGGAAAAACAGATCAGCTTAAAAGAAGCAAAAAACAAACTGAAATATTCCTTAACAACTACAGGAAAACAACTTCAAAATGTTGCAAGAAAATAACCATCAACCTCAAATTTTTACCCACCAATATTGCCTTAAAAGAATAATGCAAAATAATACCATTTTCAGGCAAATAAGTCCTGAGAGACTTTCACTAAAGGAACCTGTAGAGCATTTACTTCTGAAAGACAAAGGAAGAAGTGTGAGAAAAGTATGCTTTATTAAAGGTGCTAAGTTTTCTGCAATAATATTCTTTCAACTTTTTGTAAGAAAAAAAAAGAGATCTAAATTATGGGGAGTTAGAATTAATGCAACTGGTACTAACCAGACTTTTTTCCAAACAATTCTGTCTATGCCTTGCTAGTTCATAGACAGCATTATCATTTATAGCAGATGACAGCCAATCAATTAGTAGTTTGAAATTACTAATAATTTCATTATTGGTATGGTGTTGAGTGTGTGTGAAACCAAAGTACACAGTGGTTCATGAAATTTTAATTAAAATAATAAAACCACTATATTCAAAAGTACACAGCATAAAAATGCAAATAAATACATTTAGAAATTGAGTTTTAATTTTGATGTTCAATATCTCAGCAAGATGTTTACTAAAGTAATAATGCTTAACTCAAGGTTATAATGTTGACAATATTTCTTCCTTCAAAAAATTTGTTCTAATTTCCAGGAAAGAGAAAAAGAAAAGGATTTCAGAAGCTGTGTTTTTTCTAGAAAAAAAAAAAAAAAAAAAGAAGAGATTGTGACATTAACAAACTGCATGGACTTGGGCAAGTTAACGAAGCATTTGCAGTCTGTACTTTAAAAAATTCTGTAGAATGAGAAAATTTGACCATATGTTCTTGAAATTTTTCTTCTGAATCTAAATACAGTTATTATGACTATATATGCTGGAAAATCTAGGTGAGTTTGTTTTCTGTAACCCTTTCTGAAAATCTGTGTTATCAGGTAAAAGGAGGACATCAGTAGTACCTGTGAGGGTGGGAAGTGGGCCAGGGAATCCTAAAGAAGGAGAGAAGAGAGATGGGGCCCATTGTTGGGGCATTAAGCCGAGTGATCTATAAATAAAAATACCAGGATCTTCTCTTTCTAAAAAAATGTGAAATGACCAAGCTAGAAAAACATGGATAACTCTAAGCTGGGAAGAAGATCTAGAGAGAAGAGTAATGGTCAGCATTAAAACTTGCCCCTCTTCCAGTGATACCAGATTTCATTTGCATATCCACTAGGAAAGAATGATTGTAACTCTTTGTATCATAACGGGAAATGGAACACATGCAAGAGTACAATGCATGAATTCAGGGACATAGGTTATTTTGTCAAAATAGAAACATTGATAAGTAATAAGTGCCATATGTGTGGTAAACCAACTGATAGCAATCACTTAAGCATATCCTGAGAATGAACCATGTGGTGGATGCATCTCCATGCGGTTCGAAGGTCTCAACTAGAATCCAGGAGTGGCAACCTGGAGATTCTTATCTACAGGGAACATCTGAGCCCCCAGCCCATACTGTGGAACTCAGGTTGTACAAGGGATGGAGGCCCTTTGTCTTGGGTTAAAGAAAGGTTGTCGCTGCATGTTTTTTATAAGTGGTTGTGGTCCTCCTGCCCAGGCTCCTGCCACCAGGCTCTCTCTCCTGTATGAAAGCCCCCAGGAAAACCCCACGTCTCTTTCAGTGATTCTGGGGCTCTTCCTCAGCCTCTCGAACCTGGTGTCATCCCCACTAAAGGTGGGAGGGGTTCAGCACAACAGCACATCGTGGAATCATCCACCGCTGCCTGCCCGATGGTGCTCCCTTTCTCACTCCTTGCCCAGCCATTTTCACTTTTTAATTTGTCTTTGAAGCCCTCTTAGGAACAAATGCACAATTCCCATGTTTCCGGAGAGTGCCTCACATTCACATTTCACCACAGACAGAATGTCCCTGCTAGCAAACCCAGTTACCACATTTTCATCTTTATGATTCAGAGCAGATTGTTAGACCACATAATGATAGGAGGTGAAGCTGTATTATTGAGTCATTAGGATTGGGGAATGATGTTCTTAAACAAAGCAACTGATTTAGGAAGTAAATGAAGTTTTCACACATTGGAAGGAGTAACTTGGAAGAATTCCCTTCTTTAATTAAAGGTGGAAGAACTGCTACAGCTTAATAGCCGTTACGTGAGGCTCAGAAATGACAACAGGCTCAGGCTCTGGAAAACAGCTTTTGACATAGGTTATGGATGTGGTGGGAATCTGGTGAGGTAGAGTTTCTCTAGGGGAAAGGTGAGTGTTGCTTTGCCCCAGCTCATTACCCAAGTGTGGCCTTAAGAGATGGTCTAGAAAATGACCGAACTACAACAGGAGATTTGGAAGCCCCAGCTACTCTCCCTCCAGGCAGTAACAAAGCTGAATATCTTGGGTGAATTACTGCAGCTGGCCTTTTCCCTGGTTCTAAGTGTTCTCCGAACAATTTTAAACTTTCAAGCACATTTCACTGAATTAGGGCAGTGCATACCCTACCATGGCCATGGTTATGATACTGATAATAACAGCCATCACTGGCCAAAGGCCAGGCCAGTGCTAGGCCAGTACACATGCTATTTCTGTTCTTTACTGTCAGTAGGAAACGTTCATCCTTCGCTCCTTGTCTAGAGGAGGGATCACATCTACTTCTGTGCCTTTCTACACCTCTCCTCACTTACAGTAAGCCTGGGAGAAGGAAACAGTCCTATCTTGTGTCTCTCTCAGACCCACCTGCCTACAGAGAAGGCGTGTTCCTGGTCTGCTCGTCCTATAACAAGCTGACCAGGGCAGCCTTGGTCTAGGAAGCTGAGGACTCCTGCACTTGCCTGTGAGGGAACAGTGATTAAAGCTTTCCCATTTACAGCTGAAATCCAGGATTAGGAAGTCTGTTTGGGGGCAGGGCAGCCAGATGCTCTGGCCTAACCACATTAGTAATCAAGCTAATGCTTTGATTTCCACCTTTCTTTCAGCTTTGTCTTCTCGATTGGTTCTAAATTCCCAGAAAGGTGAAAAAGCAGCATTATTACTTAGCACCGGAAGCCCCAGCACTCACAGGGATACTGTGCAGTCCTGCACGTGAGCAGCTCAAGAGTTCAAGTGAGACCTGCTGCTAGGAGATAAATAAGCTGACAGCGCCCAGCAGCCACACTTTTGAGGACCCCCGTGGCACCGTGTTCCTGCTGAGGCCGGACACTTTCTCCCCAAAACTACTTGCAGCCAGTGACTGAGCATGGGAAAGCGAGACCCTAGAGCCCAGCTATTCCCGTCCAGTGCAGGACTCCTCTGGACTTCCAGACTGCACTGCAGACTGAGGCACTTCCTAGCTAAGCCTCCTTCTTTTCTTCTTCCCTTTCAGCTGCTCCTGCTCCATCGCCCATTTCTCTCACCTTTATCCTGCACTTCTGCTTCCATCTTGGCATCTTCTTCCCTCAAGACCCAACCCAACACCATCAGTATTATTACACTCTTCATTTCTCAGTGGAGGAGGTGGGGCTCAAGGCAAGAAGGACAAGGCGTAAATATGCCCCCTTTAAAAAATTTGTACTACTCTATCGCTTCTCTGCCTTTGGGCTAATATCAAGTGTAAAAGTTTGTACTACCCTTAGGTTTGAGGTTCACATGAAAAGAACACCTCATCAACATTTTAAAAGAAAATCTGAATGAACTGTGTGTTGTACCAGTGTGTAAAAGAGAGACCGTGTCCTTTCTTCATAAAACTGAGTCCATTGGGACCTGCCCATTCAATGCAAAAATGCAAAGGTATGTAGGATCCTAGAAAATGAAAGAGAATGCTAAAGACAGGAACCATTTCCAGCATCCGTTGTTGAAGTCTGAATCTGGAAAGACTCAGAATGTATTTATCAGAAAAACATTTTTCCCAATAAGCCAATAGTTGCAAAGCTGGTCATCACATACAAATCTTGACCTTCACTTTTACACAATTTTGGAACATGTAACTGGTAAGCACTACTTACATTTTTTTGCTTTGCAGACATGGAAAATACATCACACTGACAAAATGGACTTTTAAAATTTGGGTTTTACCTTAACAAAATAAACTTGAATCTGATTCTTCATCTTCAAACATATTAGAAAGGGATGAAATAATTTCTCTGTGATATTTTAACCCTTAGGAATATCTGAACATGAGTGTGTTTATACACATAATTTAAAAATTAAATATAATTTTCTTTTCATGGCATAATTTTCTAAAGGAAGGAGGGACAGGACTTACCCTCGCTAGAGTCTTTCGAACATTCTGGCTTCTTTGCTTTGCTCTTCTTGTGGGGTGGAGAGAGGCCTTTTGGCTCTAACCCCTCTGGAATCACAAAGATTTAATATTCTCATTTAAATATTTACCAGTAGGGTTCAAAATTATGTTGAAATTTAAAAATGTTTTCTTCTTAGTAAACCTACACACACGCTGAATCTTAATTGCAGATTCATCTGTCATCATGGCTGAGCGAAATTCTGGCAAGGACTTGTGGTTCTCCAATCTACATAGACTTAAACTTAAGGCTTAAGCTAAAACATTTTTGTAGATAGCATTAGTGATTCACACAAATGTAAAATCTTACACATGTGCTTTCATAAATTTAGAAATTCTCCATAAGGGAACCCTGTTAACTTATTTTTCCTCCAAGAGTGTTTGATTTCAATCTTCATAGATTAGTTGACAATTGTCATGGTGCAATTTCATCTTACTCAGTCCTGAAAGCAGGGCTAGAGGAATGGAGAAAGGAATGGGGCTAGAAATTACCCTGCTTCTATTTAACAAACTGTTTTTTAGTAATCCAGATTCTAAACAACTTCTGTATTTCCCACTTAAATTACTGTGCTTCCTATTTTCCTCAATGCCTCTCTAAGTCTATCCATGGGGGCAAATAAATTAAGTTCTGAAGACAGTGTCAGGAAAATATCTCCGAGTTTATTCATTTGGATATAGCACACTTCATTAGGTGTGAATTTATGTATCTAGTCCTGATCTTCTTTCTGAGCTCATGACTTATGTCTTCAACAGCCTACAGGGCATCTTGTTTGGGATTTGGGAATGGATATCTGTTTGCCTCTCTAGATCCACTCTCCATCCTTCACCACCCCTACTGTGCTCTGGGAGGCTGAATTTTCTGGATTGCATCAATGAACTCCCTGGTTCTCTGGCTTCCTATTAGATGTAGCCAATGGGGAGCTCAGGGCATCTACTTTCTAGGCACCTGGTGGTTTTCATGAGCTGGTTGTATCCCTCAATCTAAGGTTACAGACCCTAGAGTTGGCCTTCTCCACGTGGCCCTCTAAGTCTCTTGGCTCCCGTAGCCACCTCCTTCCCATTGTCCCTTTGGGGCTGGTACTTAACTATGCCCCACACTTCAGAGCACTAATAATTTCCTTTCCTGCACTCAACTCCCATCAGGCCCTTTCAATTTTTTGTAAAGGACCTCATCAGGCATTTCAAATTTAAAGTCAGATATAATCATATACTTGCTGTTTATAAGCCTGTTCTTTCCACAGTATTACACATCTCAAGGAATGGTATCACTATCTACCCAGGAATTTAAACCCCAAACTGAGATGTCATTCTCAATATTTTTCTTCATTTACTTTTCCGGTTGAAGCAATCGCAAATCCTATCATAGCCCTCTCTGCTCCATTCTAAAATAGATTTCATATTCATCAATGTGCTCAACCTTTGGAATCACCACAGTAGCCCGCACCAGCATCTCATAACCCCCTAGCCTTCTAATCTCCCCGCTTCTATTCTTTGTTGTCTACACTCTATCCTCGACACAGCAGCTAGTGTGAGCTTTTGAAACATAAACCAGATCACATTGCTCGCCTGTTTAAAAACCATTGCTTAGAATAAGATCCAAATCCAATTCCAGGCCTGGCACAGCACGTCACTTGGGCCCTGCTTACCACACTAGCCTCACTTCCCACTTGTGTTTGGCTCTAGCTTTGTCAGTTTCCTTTCCCTTTGTGTTCCTCAATCACTGCTAGGGTGGTTCCTGCCTCAGGACCTTTGCACCTGCTGTTCTCACCCCCACTCCTCCAACACACATATTCATAGGTCTGCTCCCTTCTTGCGCTTTGAATCTCAGTTCAAATTCAGCTCCCTACAAGGCCTTCCCTGACTGCTTAATCTAAAGGCTCACAAAGGAAATCTCTCTCAAACGCATCACTTGTATCTGAAATTATCTCGCTCTCTGGTGTATCCCTTTACTGTATGTCTCCTTCCTCATCTCATCCCCAAGAATGTAAATTCCATGAGAAAAGGGCACTTGTCTTTCCTAATCCCTCTCGTATCCCTGGTGCCTAGCAGTGCCTTGAGAATTTCATTTCAAATTCGATTTTATTTTCACTTCCCCAGGCCTTTCTTTAAGGCCAAGATATAATGGGGACCCTGCCTAATTCTCTCTTAGCAGCTGTCGCCTTCATGCCAGGATTCTAAAATTACATTACAGAGCTATGGCGACTCATTTCTCATTTCCCATTTATTAAAAAAGGAACAGAACAAAAAAAAAAACCCCACATTTGATAGATGTGCTATTAAAAACTTTGGCATTATAAACTGCAAAGCTTTGGGCACTAGGCTAGGTTTTCTGTGGTTGCAAGTCAGTCACATCTAAGGTTATTACCACAGCCAGGGTGAAAAAATTTGCCAATGACTACATTAGCAACTCCCCCAAACTTCTGTCACCAGGTGCAAGATGGATGTTGACCCTTGGAATGGGTTCAGCAAAAACAGAAATGAGATGCTTGGAGCAGCTCACCGAGTGCAAATACTAGGCTCAAAGGGATTCATACAATGGGCAAAGAGACATTTGCAACCTCACTGGGAGAAAAATGTAACCCTTCTATGTCACTGCAATGTGTCGTCTGCAACTGGGAGCAAGAAGAGAGTTTCCAGTGCTGGAAATTCAACTCCAAACCAGCATTTCTCCAATCACTTTTTGCATTTTTGTGAGTTACATTTCTAGGTCTTCATTTCCCACCAGAATAGGAATTCCTGGGCAGTGGGTACTATTTAAAAAGACATCCATGTGCTACATTTTGAAATATCTAAGCACCCCGCCAAAGTACTAATATTTTATTTTTGAAAAAGTTGTAGAGCACTCCTTGGGTCACTGGGCATGCATACATATTGAATATGAACATGAAACATGTTATATGAAACAGTATTGTATCATCTCATGACACCATGGGTAAAGTGTTCTGGGGCATGCAAATGAAAGTCACAGATACATAAGGCCTCTGTGTCCAGGTTTCTACTTGTGGCTTGGGAGGAACAACTTTCCCTCTTGGCCTGGGGGAGTGAAGAAGAGAGTTGCTTCTGCTTGTCTTCAAAAGCACCCCCATGCTTCTCCTTGACAATGTATCATGTTTTTTAGCTTGCCCTATATCTGGCAGAGGGTAGAAACCTGGAGATTTGCCAGGAGCATGGCTTTGTCCCCTGAGGGACTGAACTGTGCATCCAGCTGTGATGTGGTTGAGTTTCCATAGGTGGTTGATAATTTTCCGTCCCTGCTGACTCAGACTGGGGCTAATTTTAACAGTGCAGTCATGGAAATGAAAGGACATGGGAAGACATTTGCCATTAAGGAATTAAGGATTAAGGAAGATGATTAAAGGACTTACACGGAATTCTTGGCATTTAAGCCACTCTGCTTCTTCTACCTCCCATGGGAGTAGAACCTCCCCTTGCAGATGACCATGTCTGATACCATCTGAAATGCTCCTGCCTCTACTTACTATAAAAGTCTGGAGACAGGAGCAAGAAAGTAAAGGACATGAACTTTGGGGTCAGGCAAACTCAGATTCAAATTCTGGTTCTGCTATTTAAGCAAGGAACTAATCCCTTTTAAGTCTCAATAATAACAGTTCCTGCCTTGTAGAACTGCTGTGTGTATTAAATGAGTTCATGCATGTCACGTTATTGGCACAAAGTACATGCCCAATTAAACTCTGGCTCAGCAGAGCTGTGCTGTGGCTGACTTGAGCCAGCTCACACCAGCTAATTGTACCATCTCTCCCCAGCTCTCCTATTCATTGACCTCATGCTTTGGAAGCTTGAAAAAGATCATGGTATTTGTGTTTATACCATAGAAATCTGCAAACTCTTCACACTGGGGCTCTTCTTACCCAGAGAGTTCATTTACAAGCACCCCAGTGGGTTTAGGTATTCAAGTTGTTATTCACTATCATTCACTAGCATGTCTTGGCCAGTTGATTCACTCAAGTAGCCCTTCATTAGTGTCAGTTGCATTTGTAAAAATCCCTCCAGCTTTTCTATTTGAATGAGAAGGAGAATTGATGCAGGGCAGGGGAAAGACAGCAGTTAAAGGCCTTGGGAGACTGGTTCAGACTCATCTTCGAGACTGACATGCTTAAGTGTGAGATCTGAGTGAAGCCATCATGCACACCAATGTCTGGTGAGGCCAGCTGGAACCATTCAGCACAAAAATTCTCCATGATTTCAGCACTCAGGTATCAGGAAATTGGGAGTAGCTCCCAAGCCCATTCTGCCCGAGTGGCTTAGCATCCTTGGGCCATTGAATATGACTTGAACAGCTGCATGTAGCTGCTGGAGACCAAACTCCCAGGAAACCTGGTGGAACTAAAATCAGAAATGATGATCCAATTAATGCCGCCAAACCTCAAACGCTGACTCCAAACTTGTGGACTCTCCATTAGCATTAATAACGATTTCCTTAAAATCATTCAGTGGTTTGGATAGCTATCTAAATCTCATTGAGAAGCCAACTCTCTCTGTTTAGAAATGTGTACTTATAGCACTTAGGCAAATGATCCATGGCAAGACAAGGCCCTTATACTGGGTGCTTGAAAGGGCAGTATCCCTCGTAGCTAAAAGATACTCCAAGGACATTTCATGTGAGCAAGATAAATGAGAACGGCAAGATTAAATTCATGAAAGTTAATTCAAGACAGAGTGACAATTTAAAGTCTTTTTTAAACATATGGCTCTTTTTTACAATAAGACATTCTACATGGGTATAGGAATTGAAATTTTAATTTAAATTTTACCTTGAGCTCTATGTTTTATAAAAGGCAAGCCAAGTCCTTGTCTTAGGTCATATTCTCTCAGAAGCAAACATAGAAGGGTTTGAGTTTTAAGCAGTTAATTTGAGAGATGATTTTAGCAAGTGTCACAAGAAGAATAGGGAAGAAAGACAGGAAAAGGAAAGCAGACAATACTGGGTGTGTTCATGAGTACATTCCACTGTGGGCAACCAAGACTCAGTTCTACTGGAGACCTCTGAACAATATTGTCCAATACTGTAGCCACTAGCCACATATGGCCAACAAGTAGTTGAAATGTGGCTAGTTTGAATTCAGATGTGTATGTAAAACACATACCAATTTCAAAGTCTTAGTATGAAAAAAAAAATGTAAAATATCTGACTATTTTTATATTGATTATACATTGAAATGATAATATTTTGGATTATTGTGTTATACAAAATATTGTTAAAGTTAGTTTTACGTTCTTCCTTTCACTTTGTTCAAAATTATACATGAGGCTCACATTTGAGGCTCACATATGTTTCTACTAGACAGCATTGGAACAGAACATGCGTCAGATGTGGGTATTAATCAACCAACTCTTATCTATTATTGGTTGAGGGCTGCTCCAGAGAAATTAACTCTCTTGTGCTTTGAGTTTGCTGCCAGGACGAGAGCAAAGCACTCAGCAGACAGTCATAAGGACTTTCCTTGGAAAGCTGTTGGTGCTGTAAAATAAAGCAAGCACCAAGGAGGCATAAGTAGGGCACCAACAGCCACTGCTACAGTTCCTCTTCTACCTCCTTTATTCCTACTCCTGACTTTCAGATTCTGCTTCTACTTCTCATACCTTCTGAATCCATTGCATTTGGAAGTCCAAGGGAACTTTAGGAATCAGACATGTTTGGACTGGAGAGGAGTAGATAGAAGCTATAATCCTTGTTCCAATGAAATTTTATGAAGAAAAGAAACTGGTGTTATTTCCTCTTGAAGATATTGGGCAGTCCGGGGAGGGAGAGAGATATAACTTAACATAGAGAAGGACCACCCCAATCAAACCTCATGTAGTGAGATCAAATGCATCAGAATTTAAAGAGCTCCCTGCTGATGGAGCTGCCCAGACTGAGCCTGTCAGTGATTTGTAGGGAATTCTGGCATCAAATGAGAAGGAACACAAAATTAGGGCCTCTGAGATACCTCTTTCACAGTCAGAACACTGTGACTGCCAAAATGAGGAACAAGGAGCTTTTAATCATAGAATTAAGCTCTATATCCTTCTAATATCTGTTAGAATGAGAAAGAAAAAAGCAATAATTTACTGAATCTTTACTATGGTCCAAGCACTGTATGAAACTTTAGGTATGTTATCTGATTTAATCCCCCAAACAAAACTATATGGTAAGAATTATTGCCCCCAGAATTGTAAACTGAGGCTTATAGAAAATGACACTTGCCTAAGGTCAATAATTGATAGAGCTAGAATTGAATTCAGGTCTATTGATTCATGCATTCATTATCAAAGACACATTGAATGGCTACTTTAGGCTATAACCTGTGCATTTAACCACTAGATTTTCCTCATAACAAATGGGCTTTGTTGAGAGGTTGGCATGCATCTTAATTCTGATAATGAGAACAAAATATAATATGTGGAAAGTGTATTTTCCAAAGATGGCCACAGCAATATTTTAGGTCTTACATGCTCTATAGAACCACTCCCCACAAGAGATTGAGTCCATTTTCATTTCCTCTTGAATTTTGGCAGGCTCATGACTATTCCAAAGAATTAGAATTACATGGAGTGATGCAATGGAATGTCTAAGCCTGAGAATACAGTGTCTCCCTTTTTCCAGGAGAAACTCATTTTGGAAGCTGGCCGCCATGCTTTGAGGAAGCCCAGGCCACATAAAGTGGTCATGAACAAGTGTTTTAGGAAGTTGTCCCAGCTAATATTTTAGCTGACAGTTGAGATCAATCACTAGCCAGACAAGTGAGTGAACCTTCAGATGGTCCCAGCTCCCAGCTGTTGAATCTTCCTGCTGAGCCCTACATCTTGTGAACAGAATGATTAAGTTATCTCTGCTGTGCTCATGAGCATAAGAAGTGGTTGTTTTCAGCTTACTCTAAGTTTTGGGGGCGATTTGTTATATAACTCTATTAAGTACAACATCATGTTCCATTTTTACCTTGGCTGTCAGGAAACTCAAGGTCAAATTTATTCCTTAAATACAGTAACTGTATTAACCTTAAGTGTTAGCACAACTACTTTTAAATTTTATAACACCGAGCATATATTTCTATTTTATTAATCTTATTTTGTCTTTCTTTGAAAAAATATGAAGTGTACATAAACAACAAAATGACCCCTACTTACCCCCTAATAATAAAAGAATGAATTTAATACCTGAATCTTCTTTCATTTCGACATCCTCTTCTTCTTCATTATTATCATCTGTTAAAAAATAGGAAAAAATAAAGAAATATTCATATGAAAGTGGGAAACACAAGAATGTTCTAGATGGATTAATTAAAACTTTCAAAGAAAAGGATAACAGATCAGTAGAAAAGAGACTGTTAAAGCATGCATTTCTCTTGTCTTATTATCATGCTGAGTTAAGAAGACAGTATACACATTAATGCACAATTTAAAACCTAGAGTTTACATTTCCTTTTTAAAATTGTTACATTTATAACAAACTATATATGCAATCATTTGTTTTACTTATACAAATTATATATGGTCACTTCAGTCATTTCAATTGCTCACAATTAAAAATCACAGACTTTAAATGCCACATACTCTACCTTTGTTAAAGGTCTGCATGCTCACTTCAAGTATCTGAGAAGTATGGACATCATTATTTGGTCATAGACCGACATGTGTCAAATCCCTGCACCGCACTATGAAAAGTGCTGCTTTGCTGCATTTGGAAATCCCAACCTTCACTCATGTGCTTTCAAGTGTCCCACCAGTTGCACCATTCCTATTTAGCTCCCCTTATCTCCCAATATAACCCCTTTTAACTGGAAAAGGTCATGTGATTCCTCTGCACTACAGATGACATGTTTGCTCTTTTGAACTTCTGAAACACTGTCATCTCTCTCCTTATGCTCCCTACCTCCAGTGGCATGTTCTGAATATCTGTGTCCCCAATAATTCATATGCTTAATCTTAACCTCCAAGGTGATGGTGATTAGAAGGTGAGGCCTTTGGAAGGTGATTAGATCATAAGGAAAGAACCTTTGTGGATGGGATTAATGTCTTTATAAAAGAGACCTAAGAGAGACCTCTCACCCCTCCCTCCATGTGCGGACACAGGGAGAAGACGCCTCTCTACGGGGAAGAGGGTCCTCACCAGACACCGAATCTGCCAGCACCTTGATCTTGGACTTCCAGCCTCCAGAACTGTCAGAAATAAATTTCTGTTGTTTATAAGCCACTGAGTCTATGATATTTTGTTACAGCAGCCCAAATGGACTAAAATATCAGCTAGCGCCAAATCTTCTCCTGTTTCTATGTTTGGTCCTCTCTCCTCACATTATTGCAGTACAAATTCAGACTCCCAGTGCCATTTGCCTTAGCTATTTTAGCAGTTTCCTAACTGCTCCTCTCTTTTTCCCTCTCCTGGATCTCACTCCTTTTACACGTGACTGCCAAATCAATCTTAAAATACAGCTCTGATCTGGTTCACAATGGTTCAGTGACTGCCCTCTGCCTAATGAGAAAAGTCTAGACTCTTCCTGTAACGCTCAAGGCCAATGATATCTGGTTCCAAACACTTTTCTCAGTTTCACCTCCTCTGTTACACGCATGCTACCACCTACATAGATGGCAACACTTAACTCTTCTCTGTTCTCTCAAGGTCCCCCTCAGCTTCCTCTACCTGCCTTGATCCTGCTAGCAATGCCCTTCTCCCTCTCTATTCACCTTCATCCTTCAAGCACAAGCTTAGGTGCCACAGCGTCTGATTTCCCCAAGTTTGAATGAATCATGTGCTCTTTGATGTACCTTATTTTTACTGCCTTCTTGGTATGGACTTTAAATACACATGGGCTTAGGTTTGCATCCTGGCTCCTCCACCCATCCATCCCCTGGGCATGTGGTCTTGCAGAAGTTACCTGAATCTTCCTGAGCTTCAGGTTCATCAGCTATGTAGTGGGATAATAATAATTATACCTACTACATAGAGCTTTCCTAAGGATTAAATGAGATCATGCCATGTAAAGTACTAGGACAATTACTGAAACATTGTTAAGTGCTAAATGTTATCTGTTATTATAATAAAATCACACAGTCTACATGTTAATTTATCTCTCTTTCAAATATCCATCTCCAGATCATAAATTCTGCAAAGATGGAGACCAGGTCTTGTGTTCCTGTATATTCCCTGGCACTTAATGCCATTCATTTTATATACCATAATCAATAAAGAAATGTCCACTGAATTAAATTTATATTATTTTCTATGTGTTTTATACATATTAGCTATATCATCCTTTGTAAATAATGGGAAGTCAGTGAAGATTTGCAACTTGCTCCGACATATGTGCTTTGTAATTTAGTCATCCCAGCCAAATTTACTTGGTATGGCCCTCTTCTACGAATTGATTATCAATGATGATTAGAGATTTATTAGTCAGTGGAAAGAGAAAATGCTTTTCATTTGAGGTTTTAGAAAGGCAATTCTTGATAACTATAGTTAACTTTTAAAGAAGTAATTTTTTTTTACCATGGAAATATTTTAGAAACATTGGTGATTTTCTACATAATTTAAAAATTCATTCTATGAATGCAGTTTTGGAAGGAAGAATACCAGTTTCTTAGAAATACAGTTTTCTAACCAAATGATTACCAAAATGTTACAAAGTAAACTTCGTAGATTCCTCCCTGAACTTAATATCTTTAAATATAATTTTATTTTACAGAGCCATCTAAAATCTGTACGACCACAGACTCTTCAGAATCTGAGAGAGAGAGATAAAAAAGAGTCTCTACAGTTTCTGGGGGAAAATAAAGGAAGAGTCAAAGATCCCTTTGCTTGTCACTTAAGTTTCCATTATTCACCTGGCAAACACTCATTGGTTAGCCTATTGTGTATAAGGCTTTATGTTTGGGGCTGTAGAAAACTCCAAGATGAATAAAAACTTAAGCAGTTTTTTTTTTTTTTTTTTAATAATCTTATCAGTAGTAAAGAAACTAAGACATGCAAATACATTCCAACATATGGTAGTCAGTGCTACTAAAAAGGTGCCAGAGGAAGGATTGATGCTTCTAGTTAAGCTACTTGGAAGTCTTCCTGTACGTAGAACATGACATTGAAACGAATATTTGAACTATATAGACTGTCCCGATAACGTCATCCCAGAATGACTCCCGTGTGTGGAAGGATCAGGCTTGGGGTTATTATTCATTCATTCGTTTCACTCATGCACTGATTTAGTCATACAGTGGTTAAGTGTCTGTTCAGAGTCTGGACTCAGACTGGGTCAGTTTACTTCCAGGACAAAAAACATATAACTATGCAAATCTTGGGTAAGAAGAATACCAGAATACCCTGAAATATAAGGGACCTTCCCCTCACTACCATCTCTCAATCCCTTGTCTCTCCCAAAGCACAGGGTGAAGATTTTCTCCACAGTTTCCTTATCTATCTACAAACAGTAGCCCCAAAAAAGGAACACAATTGCCTTCCATCCTCTCCCTGAAATTTCATTATCTTTTGCAGAAAAGAAAGCTGAGAATGTAACCACACCTGGACAGATGTTTTTTACAAGATAATGCCTGCCTCTTGGGCTCATTCAAATTCCAAAGAGAATAATTTACAAGTTAATTTCTGTCTCCTGGGTCCATTCGTTCTCCCTAATAATCATTTATTGCTCTTCAAAAAATTGTCTACTTTCCCCATCTATCCACTCCCCTATGAAGAAGAATATATAAGCTTCTGTGCCCAATTTAGCTAGCGGATAATCATTCTCATGTGATTTCCCCATGCTTGTGCATGTTAAAATAATTTTGTATGCCTTTTCTGCTATTAACCTGCCTTTTGTCAGTTTATTTTTAGTGAACTTTCAGAGGGCAAAGGGGAAGTTATCTTTTGGCCCCCAAATAACATAAAAACCTATATGTCAGTTTCTTCATCTGAAAAATAGGGATAATAAAATTATCAACTTCTTAGGGTTAGGATTATATGTCAAGTGCTCACATACAATGAGCATTCAATAAATACTGATTATTGCTATTATTGAGACCACCTTTGCAAAAATTGTGACAACGAGAGAAATCTGACATAGAAAAAGTATGACAATGAAAGAAATCTAACACAGCAGACTCCATCTTGCTTCTACCCTCACAAGCTGTTCTTGTTCGTTTCTGGGTATAGCCCAAGCTAACTTTGGAAGGGATTTAGTATATAGTTTAACCTAAAAGCAAGAATGATAATAACCCTTCTCAAAACTATCCCTTCCTTGTTTGGGGACTGAAGCTGCCTTTGTAAAACTAATGAAAGACCCCAAGGTCACGATTATGAGAGAAGCCTGAATTCTACTAAGATGTAGGCAGAGTTAAACAATAACCAGCCATTGTTCCAGAGGTCCCAAGATATGTAACCTCTACAATTGCTCTAATAGATAACATCACTATTCTAGAACCTAAGGTTGGCCTTTTGAGATGTTTTTCAGATTTTTGCATTCTGGCAACTGACTGACTCCACCGGGACCTTTGACTCGTGACTCAACTGGTCCTGAGGACCCTATCCAGAGGCTCAGTGCATGAGGACAGTTTTCTACACTCCTATGATTTCATTCCCAACCAATCAGCAGCACCCATTCCCTAGACCCTTGCCTGTTAAATTGTCCAAAAAACTCCTAGCCTCCAAGCTTTTTGGGAGACTGATTTGAGTAATAAACTTCTGTCCTCTGCTTGGCTAGCCCTGCATTAATTAAACTCTTTCTCTACTGCAATACTGCTGTCTCACTAAATTAGTTTTATCTGTGCAGTGGGCAAGAAGAACCCACTGAGTGATTACCTTATGATGTCATTCTTATAACTATTTTTGCTAGTTAAATAACCAGCTCTACCTTGTGCAGCCATTATGAAGATACAGGTCAACAATCTTTTCCCTCAAGGAGCTCACAAAGTGGATGATATAGAAAAGCAAAACTACAGAAGAAGGTAACAGATTATCTGATGTAGTTACATGGAAGTTGTATTGGGAAATATACAAGAGCCAGCTAAGTCAGAAGGAAGTTCTATGAAGGCACTCCAGAAGAGGCTAGGCTTCAGCTGAGTCTTAAAGGGTGAGTTAAAGTTATGTAGCGAAAAAGAAAGGCTATAGTAGATGCCCAGATGTGGATGTACTGCCTATACCTCCTCGTTCCTTGACAACTCAGTGCGTGGCAGCCTGCCTTTGAGCCACCAGCTCTTGGGTCTCTTTGCCTGGGGACTCTCTCTGC